CAATAATTTACTTGTGGCCAGTGCAGTAACTCATGCCTGTAATCCCAGCACTTTGGGAGGCCAAGGTGGGCAGATCACCTGAGGTCAGGAGTTCAAGACCAGCCTGGCCAACATGGTGAAGTCTTGTCTCTACTAGAAATGTAAAAATTAGCCAGGTGTAGGAGTGCATGCCTGTAATCCCAGCTACTTGGGAGGCTGAGGCAGGGGAATCACTTAGACCTGGGAGGCAGAGGTTGCAGTGAGCTGAGATCATGCCACTGAGCTACAGCCTGGGAGATAGAGTGATACTCAGTCTCAAGAAACAAACAAACAAACAAACAATAATTTACTTATTTCTTCCCCTAAATCTTCATTGTACTTTTTAGTAATACTGCTGCAGTCATACATTAGTATTTAATACATGAAAACAGATTATTTGTATGCTGCATGCAAGCCCAGAAGAGAGGTCCAGGCACTACACCTAAAAGAAGGTGGCTTAACAGCATCTTGTTAAAGAATAGTTCATCTATGAGATCACAGAATAAGTCATTAGAAGAATGTACTGTGCTCTGGGAAAAAAGAAAAAAGCCCTGGTTATTTTGGTCATCAAGTAATGTTTTCTTTACAAACTACTTTTTTTTTCCAATAGTAAATATAAAGCTGGAACTTTTGTTACATGCCAAGATGGATGGAATCTTTAGCCAGCATATCATTCTCGACTATAACTGGAAACTTTGAACAAAATACAAAAAGCAACTACCTCTGGACAAAATAGCATAGGAGGAGGATTGGTGAGGAAAGTCAAAACTTGAAGAACAACTAGTAGGGCTGCAAAACCATGGAGGCAACTTAAAGTAGGACATTATTAAACTGTTGAAAGAAAAGAACAGTCAACTCAGAATTTTATATACAGGCTTATCTCATGTTATTGTTCTTTGCTTTACTGAACTTCAAAGATAATGTATTTTTTGTAACAATTTGAAGATTTGTAACAACCCTCCATGAGCAAATCTATCAGTGCCATTTTTCCAACAGCACCTGCTCACTTCATGTCTTTGTGTCACGTGTTGATAATTCTCCTAATATTTCAAAAAATTTTGTTATTATTATATCTGCTATGGTGATATATAATTAGCAATCTTTGATGCTGTTTTATAATTATTTTGGAGCACTACAAACTCTGCCCATGTAAGATGGCAAACTTAATTGATAAATGTGTGTGTTCTGATTGTTCCATGAACTGATTGGCCATTCCCAGTCTTGTTCCCTCTCCTTGGTCCTCCCTGTTCCTTGGACACAACAATACTGAAATTAGGCCAAGTAACAACTCCACGATGGCCTCTAAGTGTTCAGGTAAAAGAAATGGTTGCACATTTTTTACTTTACATCAAAAGCTAGAAATGATTAAGCTTAGTGAGGAAGGCATGTGAAAAGCCCAGACAGGCCATAAGCTAGGTCTCTTGCATCAAACAGCCGAGCTGTGAATGCAAAGGAAAGTTCTTGAAAATTAAAAGTGCTACCCCAGTGAACACACAAATGATAAGATGGTGAAACAGTCTTATTGCTGTTATGAAGAAAGTTTGAATAGTCTGGATAGAAGGTCAAAGTCACAGCATTTTGTTAAGCCAAAGCCTAATCCAGAATAAGGCTCTAACTCTCTTCAATTCTGTGAAGGCTGAGAGAGGTGAGGGAGCTACAGAAGAAAAGATTGAAGCTAGGAGAGGTTGGTTCATGAGGTTAAGAAAAGAAGTTGTCTCCATAACATAGAAGTACAAGGTACAGCAGCAAGTGCTGATGGAGAAGCTGCAGCAAGTTATCCAGAAAATCTAGCTAACATAATTGATGAAGATTTTCAACATAGATGAAATGGCCTTTTAATGAAAGAAAATGCCATCTATGACTTTCATAGCTAGAGAGAAATCAATACCTGGCTTCAAGGCTTCAAAAGACAGGCTGATCCTTTTGTTAGGGGCTAATACAGTGGGTGGCTTTAAGTTGAAGCCAGTGCTCATTTGCCATTCTGAAAATCCAAAGGCCCTCAAAAATTATGTTAAATCTACTCTGTCTGTGTTCTATAAATGGAACAACAAAGCCTGGATGACTGCACATTTGTTCACAGGATGATTTAAAGATTATTTTAAGAACATTGTTGAGACCTACTGCTCAGAAAAAAGATTCCTTTCAAAATATTACTGCTCATTGAGAATGCATCTAGTTACCCAAGAGCTCTGATGGAGATATAGAAGGAGGCTAATGTTGTTTTCATGCCTGCTAACACAATATCCATTCTGCCACCCATAGATCAAGGAGTAATTTCGACTTTGAAGCCTTATTAAGAAATGCTATAAGGCTATAACTGCCATAAGAAATGCTATAAGGCTATAGCTGCCATAGCTAGTGATTCTTCTGATGGATTTGGGTAAAGTAAATTGAAAACCTTTTGGGAAAGATTCAGCATTCTAGAAGCCATTAAGAACAGTCAAAATATCAATATTAACAGGAGTTTGGAAGAAGCCAATTGCAACCCTTATGGATGACTTTGAAGGGTTCAAGACCTCAGTGGAGGAAGTAACTGCAGATGTAGAAATAGCAGGAGAGCTAGAATTAAAAATGGAGCCTGAAGATGTGACTGAATTGCTGCAATTTCTTGATAAAACTTGAATGGATAAGATGCTTCTTATGGATAAGCAAAGAAAGTGGTTTATTGCAATGTAAACTACTCCTGATAAAGATGCTGTGAACATTGTTAAAATGACAACAATTGATTTAGACTGTTACATGAACTTAGTTGATAAAGCAATGACAGGGCTTGAGAGAACTGACCGAAATTTTGAAAGAAGTTCTACAGTGGTAAAATGTTATAAAATGGCATCGAATATTACAAAAAAAAATTTTTTTTTTTGAGATGGAGTTTCGCTCTTGTTGCCCCAGCTGAAGTGCAATGGCATGATCTCGGCCCATTGCAACCTCTGCCTCCCAGGTTCAAGCAATTATCCTGTCTCAGCCTCCCAAGTAGTTGGGATTACAGGCAAGTACCACCATGCCCAGCTAATTTTGTATTTTTAGTAGAGACAGGGTTTCACCATATTGGTTAAGATGGTCTCAAACTCATGACCTCAGGAGATCCACCCACCTTGGCCTCCCAAACTGCTGGGATTACAGGCATGAGTCACTGCACCCAGCCTACAAAGAAATCTTTCATGAAAGGAAGAGTCTATCAATGCAGCAAACTTCATTGTTGTCTTATTTATTTAAAGTACCACAACCAGCCCAGCCTTCAGCCAGCTACCATCCTGATGAGTCAGCAGGCATCAACATTGAGGCAAGACAATCCATCAGTAAGAAGATTACAAGTTGCTGAAGCCTCAGATGATTGCTCACATTTTTTAGCAGTGAAGTATTTCTAAAATAAGGTATATACATTGTTTATTTAGACATAATGCTATTGCATACTCACTAGACTACTCTATATTATAAATAAACTTTTCTATGTACTGGGAAACCAAAAACTGCATATGGCTCACTTTATTGTGATACTCCCTTTATTGCAGTGGTCTAGAACCAAACCCTAAACATCTCCAAGACCTGCCTGTACAACAAAAATATCCTTCAGAATGAATGCAAAATAAGCTAATTCTCAGATAAGATAAAATAAAGGGTTCTTACTCTTAAGTATTTACCCAAGTGAAATGAAAGGAAAACCTACATTTATATAATAACCTATACACAAATGCTTAGAATGACAGCTATAGTCATATTTGTCCCCAACTGTACACAAACCAAATTGCCTCAACTAGGGAATAAAGTAACTATGGTACGTCCATACAATTGAATACTACTCAGCAGTGAAAGGGAATTAATTATTGATCTATAAAACACCATGCCTGGATCTCAAATGCATTATACTCAGTGAAAGAAGCCATACTCAAAAAAACTATATACTGTATGATTCCATTTATATGGCATCTGGAAAAAGATAAACTATAGAGATGGAGAACAGATCAGTGGCTGTCAGGACTTAAAACTGGGGTAAGGGCTTGACTACAAATGGAATAACTGCAAGAAAATATATATTTTTTTTCAACTGTTGTGTGTCTTGAATGCAGTGGTAGTTACATGCTTCTGTGCATTTGTTAGAACTCATAGAACTGTAACCAAAAGAGTGCATTTTACTATCATTTTTTTTTTTTTTTTTTTTTTGAAAAGAGGGTTTTGTTTTTTTTTTTGCCCAGGCTGGAATGCAGTGGCATGATCTTGGCTCATTGCAACCTCCGCCTTCTGGGCTCAAGTGATCTTCCCACCTCAGCCTCCTGAGTAGCTGGGATTACAGGTGTGCACTACTATGCCTGGCTAATTTCTATATACTATCAATTTTATATATTAAAATACAAATTAAAAAATAGAAAATCTGAAGTCATGATACAGTTTTCCTAGGGAAACTTTTTGACAATTCAGTTATCTAATTGCATGTACTTAAATATTCATAAGCAGCAAACTGTATCCCCAATATAATGGCAAATGGCCAGATTTTAATTAAAATCTTTGTTACAAAACGTCACTTGAAAATAAAAATCTATTTGGTCTTCATCCAGGTTTGTGGAAGTCTAAAACCTTCAGAATAAAATTCTAACACGCATGTCATCAATACATGAGTTTGATATAAACTTTAAAATTTCTGCCAATTTATATAAACTCTTTCAATTCCATACCACAAATGTGGTTATATGGCCACAATATTTATTTCTGACCTGGTATTTAAAATAATAGATATATTATATTATATTACACTAAAATAATAGATACATATATTATATATGACACTATAATAAATGTTACAATACACGCACATAATTATTAATATTGCTATGAAGGAGAAAAAAACAAAATCATGCAATTAAACCACAGGCTCAGCCTTGATTCTTCTAACACTGACCTATCATGTTTTTCAAATTGTCTACCATATTGATTTATTCACTGTAGGACTGACAGAGTAAAATGTGAAAGATTAAATTTTAACATACCCTGTCAAAGAGTGCAAAAAGTTGTCTCAAGACATCTGAAACAGGCAACTTTAAATACTTGGCGAATTCGTCAATTCCAATTCTTCCTCCTTTTGAGGAACTCGCGATAGATGCATATTCATCCAATTGCTTACGAACACCATCCCAATCTAACCTAAACAAACAAAGAATTATAGATACATGTTGTTAGCCCTTTACAATTCACATGGACATTTTATGGGCATTATTTTACTAATGTATCTGAGAGAAAAATATTTTAAGTGTTAAATTTGTAAAGGAGAATAAAATAGGTACTTAAAAGCACATATTGAACATATATGCAGGCATTTAATCTTTTAAAGGATACTTATATAACTGACAATTATCTTAAATATCTCAGGGAAAGAAAAGTAAATAAAAAGAAGAACATTGTAGTGGAATAATAAATTATTCATGAGAAGAAAATAAGAAAGCAAGTATTTTAAATCTAAACATGACTTAGTGAGTCCATAGCACGTTATTAAGTTTTTAAAGGTGAAATAACAATTCTTGCTTTCAAGAAGCTTTCAGGCTGATAATGAATTCATATTTCACAAAACGTTATGATAGGGGGATTCATTAGACTATACACATGTCCTCCAAGATTAGTTATGAAAAACCACTGTGATAAAACACTGGAAAATGTACTGTAGCTTACATCATACCCTATCTCTGCTTTGTTGAATTAAACAAATGAGCTAACACATACTTCTTAGCCCAATTTCAGTGACTATCTAAACTTTTTAAATCTACAGAACATTGTGACCATAATACGCAAACAAAAGCAAAACATTTTTATCTTACGATATAAATAATATTTTCTATACCAGTTATCAAAATATTATACTTTAATACTGAACTTTGATAGAGTAACTGGTTCTTCATCTCCTTCATAGACAGGATGTTAGTAAATTCTGCAAATTCCAGATAGGGTTGAGAACAGAATGAACTGCAATAAGGGTAGAGGGAGGTTGAGGGTTACACCTTTTACAGCAAATAGCTCAACAAGAAAGTTCTCAATGGTTCAAACTAGATCATAAGAGCACAAAGAAGAATTTTTGCCTTTTTTTAAAAATAGGTATCCAGAAAAAAAGGTAGATCTAGGGCAAGTATTTAATATTCAGTGATGGTAAGAATTGCAACTATACAAATCAATTCATGTTTCACATGTGAAGTTTTGACTACCACATGCCAGTATCATCTAATGATGCTGTCCTTGTAAGAAGGTGGCAGGACTAACTTCTCTGAGTCACTAACTCCCTCTGAGGAAGGAGGCAGATCTGTGTGGATCCACATTTATTATCCCTTGGTCTCCTCCTGTGACCAATGCACATATCTCTGAGTTAACTGTTCTTGAAAAAGCAAAAGTAGATGAATAAAATGTGAGATAAATTCACAACTCCGACTTTCCTAATAAACACCAAGTGGGAACTAGAGCAGGAGAAAATAAACAGATAGGATTTCAGATCCCCTTTGAACAACTTTATGAAAGTACAGTCATTTTAAAATACACTTACTTCAATTTCCGGCTAATTTTAGTAAATTCCACCAGCCCAGCTTCCATAGGCAATGTTAGCTGTCCTGCTGAAATCATCAATCTGCAATCTTCGTAGGTATGATCTGTTACGGGTATTCCCAGAGCTCTGAAAGTATTAAGAAGCAAACTAAAATTCATTTTTTTTTTTAAAAAAAAGTAATCATATTTCATTAGGCTTTAGCTGGTTCCAAAGAACAGCAAACGAAAAAGTATTTACTACTTTTTAAACCAGTAACCTTCTCTTTTCTTGACAAAGAGACATGTTTCTCCATTTCTTTGCAGACTTACTAAGGATCAGGTTAATCTCCTTATATCTACATGCTTCTGTCTGTGTTGCTGATAATTTTTGTTTTGTGTTTTAACTATAATGATAATAGTTGCCTTCAATCTCATCGAAAGTAATTAGAAGACTTAGGTTCGAGTCCTAGTGGAGTTTTTTACCAGCTGTGGATGAAGCCTCACTTTTCTCATCTGTACATAGGAATGAATACTGTCCTTATTCCAAATGGTTACTGTAAGGACAAAAAGAGAATGCCTGTGGAAGGTACTGTTTAAACAGATAAATGGAGCCGAACGCAGTGCCTCACGCCTGTAATCCCAGCACTTTGGGAGGCCAAGACAGGCAGATCACTTGAGGCCAGAAGTTTGAGACCAGCCTGGCCAACATGGCGAAACCCCAACTCTACTAAAAATACAAAAATTACGCGGGCATGATGGTGGCACACCTGTAGTCTCAGCTACTCAGGAGGCTGAGGCAGGGGAACCGCTTGAACCTAGGAGGCAGAGGTTGCAGTGAGCTGAGACTGCACCACTGCACTCTAGCCTGGGTGACAGAGGGAGACCCCATATCAAAAAATAAATAAAAGAAACATATACATGGCATTTGTATATAGTGTAAGTAAACAGTCTATCCAAACTGCTAGCTGTCTATGTTTTTCATCTTTTATAGCTAGAGATCACCTTCTTGCTACATAGCAATCTTCCAAAAATACTGAAGCAAATTGATAAGTTAATATTTCTTCTAAACCTAAACATCCTCCATCCTTAAGTGAAAGTATAGCTCCTAGTTCCTACTTCACTGCTCACAGATTAAATGATAGTGAATTAAATTTGAAAAAAAATACATATTTATAAGAACTGGAAAAACACTGAATACCGAAAAACAAAAACAAAAACAAAAAATGCAGTGCATGAGATAAAGATTCCTTTTCACTAAATTTTTATTCACAAATATTCAGTGAAAATCATAAAATTATGTCTTTAAACTGTATTGGATTTTGTTGAATCATTGCTAGAAACATTAAATTTTGAATGAATACAATCAGAATAAAACATTTTTTTCAGCTGGGTGCGGTGGCTCAAGCCAGTAATACCAGTACTTTGGGAGGCCAAGGCAGGCGGATCACCTGAGATCAGGAGTTCGAGACCAGCCTGGCCAACATCGCGAAACCCCGTCTCTACTAAAAATACAAAAATCAGCTGGGCATGATGGTGGGCACCTGTAATCCCAGCTACTCGGGAGGCTGAGGCAGGAGAATCACTTGAACCCAGGAGGTGTAGGTTGCAGTGAGCCGAGATCGCTCCATTACACTCCAGCCTGAGTGATAGAACAAGACTCTGTCTCAAAACAACAACAACAACAACAACAACAAATTTTTCTGTCTAAAATATTTTTTTCTAAGCTCTTTGATTAATAAGTGTTTTGGTATAAGAATATATAAGATGTAAAATTAAATTTTAAAATATTTTGGGACTTATAATAATAAATGGTACAGTATAATAGTTAAGAGCTTGGGCATTGGTAACAGGAAATGTGGATTTGAGTTCTAGCCCAGTCACTACCTAATGTGACTTTGGGCAAACTACTCACCTCCCTGAGTCAGTTTTCTTACTTGTACCATAGAGTTGATGTAAGGATAATGTTAAATAAGTTGAGGGCTTACCACAGTACTTGTGTTTTCAAATGCTTTTATCATATACTTTCCTACTTGAGTCTCCTAATAATCAAAACCATGAGAAAGACAAGGCAATGATTTTAACTCCCATTTCACATGTGAGGAGAAGGGGATTTGGAGGAGACTTGTCCAAGGTTGTGCAGCTAATCAAGGTCTTTCTTACTCTTTATCACAAGTCATTATTACCTCCACACCTTTGAATTCAGAAAAAGGCTGTCTAAACAAATCCCTTCTCTTGTTTCTAAGCACAATTTGGGAAGCCAAAATATCTGATATAAGTTCTCTCATTTTTTTTTTTTCTCTTTTTTGAGACGGAGTTTCGCTCGTTGCCCAGGCTGGAGTACAGTGGCATGAAAACTCAGCTCACTGCAACTTCCACCTCCCAGGTTCCAGCAATTCTCCTGCCTCAGCCTCCTGAGCAGCTGGGATTACAGGTGCGTGCCACAATGCCTGGCTAGTTTTTGTATTTTTAATAGAGATGGGGTTTCACCATGTTGGCCAGGCTGGTCTCGAACTCCTGACCTTGTGATCCGCCCACCTCGGCCTCACAAAGTGCTGAGATTACAAGTGTGAGCCACCGCGCCTGGCCCAGTTCTCTCAATTTCTGATAATTATCTTGCTTTCTACCTTTTGGATATAAGCTGGCATGAAAACATAAGACAGGAAGAGAAGAAAACAACATAAAAACTAACTTTGTAGCTCATCTAGAAACTAGATAAAACAACCACAGCTATATACACTTAATAGCAAATTTTTTGCCAAACATTTATTCTATTTTGAAAATAGTTATTCTGCAGAAAAATATTAAGATACATATATTAGAATAAAACATATAGAGACACATACACATACATATATACATGGCTGGCTATATGTATGAAATCTGGCTATAAAGCTAAATTCAGCTATGAAGCTAAATTCAGAGTTCTCATTGAATTTTTACTAAGAGAATAAACACTGCTGGTCTATTAGCTCCAAACTTACTACTGGGAATGACAGAGGTGGTATGTGGGAAGAGGGTGCACACCTGGAGGGCTCTGAGGTTGCTTGGGTGGTGGTATAGTATAAAACATTCTTTCATTACAAGATAGGGGTTGATTTATCTAGTCAGAATAATGGCCAGTTACAACTCTCTTATATGCAGGAAAATATTAACCTTATGTTTTATAGTCTCTAAATCCTAATTTATAGCCATCCATGAAGAGGTGAGTTTTTCCCTCTTCTATGCATCTTTTTACATGGCAAACTTTCTCCTTTTTGGTGCTACAGTCAGTAATACCTTAGAAACACTCAGCCTTGGGCAGCTATATGAAGGTTGAAGGAATAGAAGATGGGCCACGTCAGGAACCACTGAGATCATCACAAGGCTCATTTGACAGTGGCGGGCCAGCTTAGGAGAATCCACCCTGTACAAGGCACTGACTGGTCTTTTCTGGTTATTGAACCCTCCCCAGTCTTCCCAGTAAAGACATATTTCCTTATTTGTGGTATGCAGCTGGGGAAAATATTTATAGATTGTTATACTGACCTCATCCCTGGGCACATTATTTTATGTATCAAAATGAGTTGGGGAACGAGGCCTTCAGGGGTTAAGAAAAAAATCCTTAAAACGAGTTAAACAACATGTACAAATAATTTTCAAATTATTTACAAATTATGATCAAATATAGACACTTACTCTGCCATTACATTCCGGACTTTATTAGCAAAAAGGACAGGATCATTTTTTTCTTCATCATTTGGTACTTGAACTGGCATAAACTGAAAGACAAATATACCTTTCTATAACGATGTCTTAAGCCTAAGACATTAAATGCCAAGTAAATTAATTTATACATTATCAATATATTAAATCATCTACCTTTCCAGAACATAGCTTATATGAGGTAATGGGGCACTGGGCTTGGATTCAGGAGATCTGTTTCTAAGCCCTGGGTCTGCTTGTGTGTTAACTAGTATGTCATTTAACTTTGCTGAACCATCTCCTCAACTCTAAAAAGAGGGCTGTGATCACTACTTCCCTGGTGACTGTGAGGGTAAAACAAGCCAGTGTCTGAAATTCTGGAAGTGTAAAGCTATAGCTACTAAAATCTTTCTCCTCGAGCTGCATTTTCAACTACTCCCATCCCTTTATGTGAAAACTTTTTTTCTCTTTTCTTTTTGTCTTTCATCTTCTCTATTTATTCTAATGTCAACCATATTTTTACTATTTGGTTGAACTTTATGTTTAGTCATTTATTCTGCTTTTTTAAAAAAACTCTTAGTATTGGCTTTACAGCTTTTTGCTTACCACCATTTTTTGCTTTAGCATTTTTAATCATATTTTTTCTCCACTTGATGTTCTGTGATGCCTCAATTGTACTGTTCTTGTTTTTATTTATGGTTTTCTAACATTAACAAGGTTTTAGTGCCATATTCAAGTTATTACATATTTTTCAGCACCTACTATATACCAGGCAAGATTAGTAGGACCCTATTGCCTGCTCTAAAGAAGATCAATATTTTAATAAGATAAAACAACACATTAATAACCCCATATGCTAAGTGTTATTACCTCTACTGCCCCCAATTATAGATGGGGCTCAATAGTTAATTAACTTACCTAAAGGCATAAAGTCACATGGCCAGAATTCAGCCCAAGATTTGTCAGATTCAAAAAAACTTTATTTTCTCCACTAACCATCCTTCCTGGAGTATGAGAGCAAGAGGTAGGAAAGGATTAATTTTGTCAGGGGCCAAGGAAATGCAGCCAAAGAGGAAGGTGGTGCCTAGGGAGAGAGTGCACACAAGAAAGCTAATTCGGTTAAGGGTGCTCTACAGAAGAACTAATACCTGATGGTGGCTTTTTAAGGATAAGTGAGATTTTTGCCAATAGTCACTGTTTATTGAATTATAACTAGAAACCAGGCATCCTGCTAGGTGTTTTACATACATTATTTTATTTCATTAATTTTTCCCCAAAATAGGTGCTCAGGTACTGCACTAAGCCCTAAAAACATGACAACAAAGTCCCTGCCCTCAGGAAGCTCTCCATTCAGTAGGGTAGAAATTTATGAAACAATGAGCTAAATCCACCAATAAGAATTACCATCCATTAAACATCTACTGTGTGCCGGGTATTTTATATTAGGGGCTTTATATGATTAACTCTCTAAACAATTCCTTGAGGTAAATCCCACCACTTCCATTTGATAAATAAAGAATGTAACTAGATGTAGTTGAAAATACCATTTTTTTTCCCAAATGGACCTGTTTTCACGTCTTGTCAATCATATTAAGAAACCTGTGAGCATTGGTATCTCAGAGGTGACATTTAAGCAAGGGAATGACATGACCAGGTCCAAGTTTTTGAGTGGTAACTTCAGCAGTAAGGAGTGGATGCATCAAAGAAGAGACTAAGAGTGGGGAGAACGTCTGGAAGCAGCTGCAATCGTGGGAGAGACAATAAGACCTTGAGTAGAGGGAGTGAGGATGTGGAGGATGACATGGATGCAAGTGGCATTTTTAAGAGAAAATGTACAGAATTATAGAATAATGTGCTATAGGACATTTTTACTTTTCACATTTATCTGATTATTTCCTCTCTAAAGGGGCAGCTGCAAGCTGCAAATAGAGTTCTTGGACTGGGTTGCTGCTTGAGATCTGCCGTGTGATCCTGGAAAAGTCATTTAGCCTTTAGGAGCCTCAGTGCCTTCTCCTGTCAAATGAAAACATTTAACTAAATGATCTCTGAAGTCCTTCCCATTGGAATTCTGTGTGTGGCTCTCTATTTTGCATAGTTGTTTTTTAAGATGGAAAAATAAACTAAGCCACCAGAGGTCCCCACATCCTTATATATTTAGAATAACTATCTTTGCAAAGAAATATTTCTAAAAATTCCCTGCATCCTGATCTAGTAAAATTTCTTGAACTTTCTTAGTATAAAATCCAAGAAAAAAACAGTAAGTTGAAATTAATGTTCACAAAATCTCTAACAAAACAGTGTAAGAAATTAAAGTTTTTAATTGCCATATAATTCTTCATCTTTTAAAAAAGCCAAACAACCATTTGTAATACACTTGATTTGTAGGTCATAAAAGCACATACTGAAAACCTTGAAAAATAAATTGCTGCTACACTGTTAACCAAACATAATACAGGGAAATACAGGTTTGGTTTCTATTAGTGCAAGTAGTATTTTTCATAAAATGATTTTTAATAACTCTCATATTGGCATGGCATCTTATTCTTGAGGAATAAAGATCCACTGAGAGTACAAAATCATTAAAATCCTAAATTTGACACCCATGGGCCTTGGAGGCCCTATTCCTCCTAAGAAGCAATTCAATGGAAATTCTAATAAAAAGTCACCTCTCCTAGGATAAGACCTTGCCCTCTATATCACATTTCCATTTTGTACAGTCATTCAAGACTCACAGTATGAATGTATCCTTTATTTGGAAAGGAAAATCAATCAAAGAAAGGGGAACATGATTGCCACTATCTTTTATGGTTCCCAACACACACCTATATACCCTAATGACTTCAAGCCCCGAACTTTTCCTTTCTAACTTCATCTTTTCTCAGTATCCTCAGTTCTCACATTGACGACTCACTTGACATCTTGGCCACAGATATTCTTCTAGACTCTACTTCAGCCATGGAAACAAACTTATGACTCTAATTTCTGATAAGTTCTTCAGTCAGTTTCCCCTCATTATCCATTAGTGTTTATTTCTCCCCTAATCTGGTCTTGCATAGACCATGACAACCTAATGGTCACATCTGGATCTAATCATCCCTCTTTAATCATTCCACTCCCTCTGGCAACATCTCCCTGCCTATCTACACTGGACTTGGGAGTCGGAGTCGGATACTTCTGTATGACCTGTTACTTAGAATCTTTCACTTCTGCCATGCCCACAGTGCCAATCACACATCCTCAGCCACCTCTCCTGATCTTGCCTTCATATTCCTGTTAGGGACCACTGAGAGATGCTAAAAATGTTAAATATGTTCCATGCTTTTCAAGTTGCAATTCCACTTTTACCTCACTCTCCCTGGACAAATGGCATTTCACTTTCAACTTTATAAAGAAGACAGCTTATGTAAACTTACTCCCTTCTTTTGCACCTGAAACTGGCTTCATATCTCCACTCCCCTCTCCTTTCAAATACAGTATTCTCTGTACCTTCACCATACTTAACTTTGCACCATCCTGTCCCAGATGAGGAGCAGACTAAGTGACATGTTTCTCAGATTAACATCTCTTCTTTGTGCTTTTGGTCCCAGAGTCCCCCACTTCCTCTTGGTCCTTAAATTGCATACAAGCAAGATACAAAATTCTTCAGCCTACTATTTAAGACATCCATCAACCAAAGCCAGTCACTTACATAAATGCTTCGTATCACTAAAGCTAATTTATTCATTTTTTCTTGACCACATCAAGAACATTCCTTTCTACTAAAAAAAAAAAAAAATGATGAGGAAGATTGAGGAATTATGACACTATAATCAATCTTTTATTTTTTCCTTGCAACAAACAGAAAAGAATTTTAAAAGGACAATCTTAACAAATGTGCAGTTCTAGTTCTTTCTATAATTCTTCTTTTAAATCTTCGAAGAGAAAAAATGCAAAATAAGGAAGATATTTATAAACAATGCTTGCTGCTTCCTTCCCAAAAGAACAGAAACATCCAGATGAGACAGAAAGTAAAAGTTAGTGCTTACTGAACACTTACTATGTGCCAGCACATAAGTAACCTTATTACTCCTCAAAACTCTATAAATTAGGTGTCATTATACCCATTTTTGTCAGTGAGAATGCAGGCTTAGAAAGGTTTCATTTTCTCAAGCACATACAGGTAGGTAGTAACAGGATTAGAACAAAAACTCTAGTTAATACCCTTTTTATTTCTCTATTAGTATTCACACATTCCAGAACTTTACCAAGTTCCAGAAGAAATTAGCTTTGTTAGAACAAGTATATATATAGGGGGGTGTGTGTGTGTGTGTGTGTGTGTAGTTGTGTGATTGAGGTTTTCTAAAAGGCTCATTTTAGATTAAAAACTACAAATAATTGTAGTGCATTTGGATACTTGAATAAACTATATAAATGTCTTTGAATCCTCCTTAAGTAATTAACTCTCTACAGATTTTAAAAGTGATATATACATGTAGCTGTTGATCATAATACTCATCATTAATTGCAATCTTTCCCTAAATCAGAAATTCTTTTTAAAGAAAAAAAAACCTTTCTATTATTTTAAGGAAATGAATTGCCCATCACAGAGCATTTTAGGCCTAAAACTAGCTACTATAAGCTCACTATAAGCTTTGTAAATGAATTTTCCTAATGAAAATACAGTAGTCTCCCTTATTTGGCATTTTACTTTCTGTGGTTTTAGTTACCAACAGTCAACCATGGTCCAAACACATTACATGAAAAAGTCTGGAAATAAACAATTCATAAGTTTAAATTGCATGCCATTCTGAGTAGGGTGATGAAATTTCATGCCTTCCTGCTCTACCCTTTCTTCATCACAAGGAGAAGAGGGATGAGTATAGTACAATGAGATTTTGACAGAGAGAAAGAGAAAGACCACATTCACATTCAACTCCTATCTATATTGTTATAACTGTTCTATTTAATTATTAGTTATCACTGTTAATCTCTTATTGTGCCTATTTTATAAATTACATTTTATCAGAGGTACGTATGTTTAGGAAAAAAGTGAGTATATACAGGGTTTGGTACTTTCTGCAGTTTCAGGCATTCACGGGGGGTCTTGGAACATATCCCCTACAGATAAGGGGGGACTTATTATATGTTTAATATGCCCACTACAGACAATTTTTATGTATCTATAATATATACTAGATGGCTTCTAAAGTCAACATGCTTTGAATACAAACTGAGATATAGCCTATGAAGGAAACTGACTGCACAGTCAGTGTAAATGGCTTGTTTCCATTCATAAACTAGCAGAGGCCCACTTAGTGCTTTATAGTGTGACTTAGCATGTATTCTCTCTCATGAGATAAACTAGCAGACTCTTAATTCATGTCACATTTTGCAATGTTTCCTACTAGCTATTTTATTCCCTATGCCCTAAGCCATATCCTTATAAACGTATACTTGTGAAGTAGCTGGTTAATAAAAGTATGACTAAAAGATACTTTAAGAACACCCATTATGCCACATTACAATTCAAAGAATAGCTTTTAGTAGAACCATACTGTAGACAGACGTCTTCATCATTGTTCAAGGATGCCAGCAGAACAGTTACACAGGACATGAGGTTTAGAACTAACTATATTTTTAAGATCCAAGAGTCGAGAATATAATAACCTTTTCAAAAACACTGTATGTTTCTATGGTGGGAAGCAGAGAGGGCTGGGAAGAGGTGGTAAGAAAATATTCCTAAATATTAGATTCATTACATCTTAGATATCTAATGATTTTGGTAATTAAAGAGTTCGGTAGTCATCATTACTGAGAGGAAACGTGTGAAACTAAAGGATATGGCAGTCAACATAATGGGGTGTCATGTGACTCACAAAAGCAAGAGTGTCTAAAAGGGCACTTTAATAATTCATTCAAAGTTCATTTGAAAAACCATAAAATTATACCATATTCTTGAATAATACATCTTACATTAGGTTTACCTAATATTCAAGAAGTTCCAAAACCATGTTTAAAATAAGATAGTAGCAAGGATTTCCATCAATTTTAAAGAAAAAGAAAAAAGGGGGTTACTTGAGAACAACCAAAACAATTGAAACTGGAGCAACTAAATGTACTGAGACCACAAACCAATCTCAAGTGGGGCCTCGTCAGACATAGTGCAAAGCTGGAACCTCAGAGATGGCCCAGCTCTTACAGAGCTTCAAGCCAGGGCGTGGTATACTTAGTGCCTGAAGGGCTGCTGGGATACATTTCGGTTAAATCCAACAGTGAGTATTAAAATATTAAAATATCATAAAGTATTCAGGAGTCACCTGGGTGAAAGGGGGAGTCATAAATTTAAAGTAAAAGTAATTAAAATAAGAATATCCGTACTAAATTTGAAGTCCACAAATTCCCATCCTCTTGTTCTGCACCGCAATTCTAATTCATCAAATCTCTGTCGATGCGGCTATTTTCAAGCCGCTGAAAGTCATTTTATTTGTGAAGTTATGGAACAAATAATACATTGTTTTCTTTGCCAGAAAAATATGATCCAAACAGGTCTCAGAACTGGCTGGAGAATGCAAATATTGTAATTTTTTTTTTTTTTTTAAAGAAAGAAAGAAAAAAGCCATGACACAGAAAGGAAATGTGGTAATAATGGTCATGACAAAAAAACAAAAAGAGGACTCTGAATACCTCTGTTGTAATGCAGTTTGACCACTGACATGCTACGGCAAAAAAGACAGCTTTGTGTACATTTCTATATGTGCTGCTAGATCTTGTTTTAGCTACAGAGGGGTGCATTGAGAGGAAGAGACAATATCTTGCAGAGAAGATAGCATGGCTTTTTTAAAGTATGAGTTTTCTTTTTTTTTTTTAAGAAAAGTAAAACAGGCCTAGACTACCTGAGCAGCTATTGAAAAAGCAAGAGCAGTGCTCAGAGTATTTAGAAATATTATAATATAAGGCTTCCTGAAGTGTATTCTATAGAACACTGGTTCCGGGAAATATCCAGAGAAAAAGGTTCTGTAAGTCAGACATTTCAAAGGCACTGAGTAGTCTTGAGAAAAAAAAAAAATCATTTTCTTTACCTTGATACTTTCTAAACTTATTAGTTTTTGTTCCCCAGGAACCTCTAAGAAAAACCCAAGAACAAGTGTGTGTTTTGTTTTCTGTTTTTTTGTTTGTTTGTTTGTTTGTTTGTTGGCCACAGTGAGAGATACTGAGCTGGTTTTAAAAGTGGGGAGGTGTGAAATATAATTAATAAACAGATATTTTCAAGACAGGCAGAAAACATGCAAATCTCAAGAAAATTTCACTAAACTCATTCTGAAATGTAATTTGCCCTCCTAAATCATTTGGTATTGCTAACAATCTCTAAATGGCCAAATCACTAAGCTATCCAACAGAGCAAAATAGTATTCTTGTGAATTAAATTCCACAGTCCTGTCACTTAGGCACTAGATCCCACTCAGAACTCTGTATGACACAGGCAAACTTAAGGTTTTCATTACACAATCCATGGATGCAATTAGAAAATCCAGGAGACCCATGATCAAACTGTCTCTCTTCAGGGACTACCTGAGGGTATTGCTAAAACCCACTGGATTCTGAATTCAGGGGTCCATTCTACATCATATCTAGAAACTAAGAACAGCTCTGGAACCAACCTTTAGAGCCTTAAAAACCTGGTCGAAATTTTCAGAATGTTATAATAACTCCTCTCTCACTACCTGCCACTGTAACTCAAACCAAAAGACTGTCCTGTGAATGATAATATGTGCTGCCTCCCGGACAGAATTTCCTTGGACTTTTCATGTGCAGGGTGATTTCACAGTGAAGTCTTCTGACCTCTATGTCTCTCCCCTAGACCCCAAGTAGCATCTCTTAGCTTTCATAAAATATTTTCTTTAAAGAGGTATGGGGCTCTATCAGCTATGGTCAGCTCCTTTTGTCAGGATGTGAAAATACATCATTCAATTTGGCAGGTGTCAGCCTTAAAGGAGTAAAAAGATGAGAGCAAGGTGATGCCCCTCTGGCCAGCCAGGGTGGTTACATGTTTCAGAATCTAGAGGTGTTTTCTAACATGATTTCAAGGGCTAAATCTGACAGGCTAGGTTTATATACACAATTTGTAAAACACCAGGGTTTATGTTATGGGTGATGGACCTTTATATCTGGTCTCTCTAGACTAGAAGTTCAAAATTAAAGGCAAGGCCAAATCTCAAGTTCCAAGGCTACATTTTGAATGACTTACCTCAACTTCTACCTTTGTGAAGAGCTGGCAGAAAGTAAGCATGCAAAGCTGAATGCTGAAGAGAAAAAAGAAAAGGCTATTTTTATACAGTAATGCAAGTATCACCTTACATTATTCAACAACCATTTCTTTATACACAAATACCCCCACATCACACTTCATATATATTTTGCATTTATAAATGCTACACTGCAGCTATAACACTTTTTGGGCCTAGACAACTAATCTTTTTTTTTTTTTTTTTGAGACAGGGTCTTACTCTGTCACCCAGTCTGGAGTACAGTGGCATAATCATAGCTCACTGCAGCCTCAACCTCCTGGGCTCAGGTGAGCCTCCCACTTCAGCCTCCCAAGTAGCTGAGACTACAGGTGTGAACCACTGTGCCCAGCTTAGACAAATATTCTTGACAATTATTATTCAAAAGTTAAATCACCAAATGAATACCAAATACGTATTTGAGTCAGACCCTCAGCTCAACAGACTAAACCACAAATTTGAAGTTTCCTTGACAACACAGACTCAAAGGCCCAAGTCCCTAGAGAATACACCCAAGGCCACATTTTAAGGTACGTAAATGTGTTTATAAGAAAACTCCTAGGTAGATCATTACATTTCTGAACTCTTTTTTGACATTAAATCAATGGGCCTTTCTGTAAAAGCGGAAGCTTTATCAAAATTGTCCAGTTATTAATAAATGTTCTAGTTATGAGGAAATCTGGAAAGTTTCAAATTTCATTGTAAAGGCAGACAAAGGCTGTCTTCAAAGTAGTTAAGCAACCCTCTCAAAGATAATGTTTGAAATAGCTGTTCCTACTTATAGCTTTCCAGTACATATTTAGACCCTCTGGATAAGATTTCTACTGGATTTTTAGTTTAGTCTCATTAGACAATTGACCCAGAAACCAGGCAGAATGGATTAAACTACACATTTAAGAAAAGAACCAACCAATCTCTTTTCACCGTTAAGAAATTAAAATATAATTTATCTGTAAAAATTACCTGAGGCGACTTATTTAAGGAATTTAGGAGCTTAAGAATTTAGTTAAAAGAAAGAATTTAGAAAGTAGATATATCACTTTCATAATTAATTATAAATTGTTAATGTGTCAGTTCACAAGTCTTCCATTTGAAAGAAAAACATTTTTTACTATCTATAAACTCTAAAGTCAATCTACACTATCTTGCATAAATTGTTTTTAATTATTTAAATGGAGCTGTAGAATTCAATTACTTTAATAGATGCATATTCTATTCTGAAAATTCTGAATACTGTACAAAATATGAAACCACACATAAAATCTAACCTGTCTTGTCCACCCTACAGACAGACCAAATACTTCTTAGACTGATACAAAACTTCTCTAAGTTTATTCCAAGTTTCCTTTCCCTTGGGATATTTGTTTTGGTATAAAATCTGTTTCTTAGAATCCGTATCTGGAATAGCACTTTGAGCAAGGGCAATGGAGAAAACAGATTTAGAAGTAACAGACACAGTGCTTAACAATATTAAGTAGATGAGAAGACAAAAGTGGACGTGAGATTTGCAATAGATAGGTGCAATGTGACATTTGAACAACACAAAGTTGTGCCTTTTAAAGATTTTGTGTTTGTTTACAAGTCCTGAAAATTTTTTGACTTTTGAAATATTTTTTCTGCCTTTCATTCCTGAATTCTTTCTCCTAATTTCCTTTTCCTCTTTTCACATACTTCTCAGTTGAGAAGACTAGATTAACTAAACCTGTCTATTATATTTTCTATTCTCAGTTACTCTTCTAGAAAAGCTTTCTCTTATTTGATCAACACATTAATCTGGACTGCTGGGCAACCAAAAAAAGTCTTGTTGGCCACATCACTATCTCTGTAAGGAACTTAACCTGTAAAGGCCCAAAGGATGGCACACCTCAGGAAGTGGAAGTATGCTACGCATCCATTGTTAAGGCACTTTGTTTTCCCAAATACTTTCATACTACCTGTTTCTCCCAATTATCCCATGTCTAAAAGCAATCAGGAATTCAAAATAAGTAATGGCATGAAACATGTATTTTAGTTAAATGAATAAATTGATTTCTTGGTAAGTGAAAGATAATATGCTGTTTAGATATCCTTTACAATTTATGTTCTTTATTTTTGGTGTTATTTGCTTATCTTTAATTATCAAGGACTGGAGCATAACAAGAATATAAATGTTTCATATGTGTTAATATTTATTCTATTGTCCTATCAGTTACATATTCTGATTTAAATTTATTATTTCAAAGCAATGTATATATATACAAAGTGGAGAAATTACGCAGTTTTGATTTCAGAAGTTGGCTGGATTACGCTGAAGGTATCTAAAAAAAGCCTACAATGGGCCTAAGACAACTGATGATTTCCTTAAATATTTCCAAGTGATTGTCACCTATCCATCAACAATGTTATCTGAGCTTTGTGCTTAACAATATGAAAACTGGGTAAGACCCTAAAGGAAGTCTTCAAATCCAGGTGTTTCATATGGCTCTCACCAAAATTTAAACAGGCTCACTTATTTAGAGGGAACTAAACAAACGATCTTGAGAGAAACCAAGTTTCTACATGTTCTGTTCTTTTTAAAGGCCTACTTCACATCAGCTTGCTTAATAATGAAACTGTATTCCTCTTCTCTCTTAAGTAAAGTGCTTATAGAAACTGCTGATTCCAATGCTTTTCAAATCCAACAACAGAACTGAAATCTTGGTTAGTTATTTTTTCAACTCATATCAGACACATCATAGCTATTTCAGGCCATATGACTAAATTTTTCTGAATGGCTTAAACCAACATAGTAAGTAAGGATAGAGACACTGGATAATGCCAAATCTGCAATGGAAATAAAACTGCAAAATTAAAGCTAACTATGATGCAAACTAGGTCACTTACAAACTAGCAGACAAACACTTGAGACCCATTTGAATGAGACAGATGACTAGAATTTTGCATACAGGGGACTTGAGGGGTCAGTGGTCAAGATAGTGCAAGACAGTGATGCTCTCTACAGAGACTTATCAGTTATAAGACTTAGGGCTCTGATCAGAAATCTTTATGTTTTTAAATATAATAAGAATTTAAAATAACACTTTTTTAAAGAATGAATAAATGATCTTGCTTTTTCTTCACTAAAATAAAATGTATATAAACTAATAATGGACATAAGTGACTTACAATGTATATCCTTGCCATGTCCAGGTCACAGTATCCTATAATAACAAAATTATTTTAGCTGTTAGTCTGGAGGAAAAACACTATATAAAATAAAGATCTTATTTTAATATGGGGATTCATTTATTTTTTTCTGAAACTAAAAGCAACACGTTGAGAAGTAAAATGTAAATACATTATTATTAAAGAACAGTGAACTGACCTATGAATTCTTGGATTACATATCTGCATAGCAAAGATCTTCCTAATGTCAACAACTTTTGATGAAATGACTTGCTCTAATTTTTTAAAAACTATTTTACATGCTTAGCCACTTTTCTTCTAATATGAATATAACTGGATAATTAATTTGCTTACAAAAAACTCAGAATATATCAGTTTTCAAAAAAAAGCTTATTTGGGGGAAATAAAATAATATGAACACACAATAAATCAAACCTATAGGCAGAAGTACAATGAATAAAAGTTTTATAGATTTTAATTATTTTTTTAACCATAGATGTCCAAGGTTGAAAAACCAGCCTCTAAATACAAAACTGATTTGATCAATAACCCTTAAACTTACATAGTAGAAATAACTAATAATTATATCCTGGCTTTTAATATAAATTCTCTCATAAAGAAAGTTCCTCACAGAACCAAAACATCCCCTCAAAAATCTTTCTTTAGGAAAATGGTGGTACAATCAATATCTAGAAGACAACAATGTATCCAACTGGAATAGAAGAGACCATTTCCTGAATCAACTCTGGACTTTATATAAGATGTTAAGTTAGGCCAGGCATGGTAGCTTATGCCTGTAATCCCAGCACTTTGAGAGGCCAAGACAGGTGGATCACTTGAGGTCAGGAGTTCAAGACCAGCCTGGCCAACATGGTGAAGCCCTGTCTCTATTAAAAATTCAAAAATTAGCTGGGCATGGTGGCACATGCCTGTAATCCCCACTACTCGGGAGGCTGAGAAAGGAGAGAGAATCACTTGAACCCAGGAAGTGGAGGTTATAGTGAGCCAAGATCGCACCATTGTACTCCAGCCTGGATGACAGAGCAAGACTGTCTCAAAAAAACAAAAAAACCCAAAAAACAAACAAAAAAAGATGTTAAGTTTTCTCAGGTGTTTTCTTATTTAATTAAGCTACTTATTACCAAGGCTCACACAATTAGTAAGTACTGAGGCAATAATGAAGGACCAAGCCTCTTCCATATTTATCCTGCTATTTCAATACTTCTTCACTAGCAATGAACACTGAACCAAGAAAAATTTCCTTCTAGAGTTAATGAAAATCACAAATTTGTAACTATTCATTCTAATGAGACCCTAATCTGGGAATTAATCACGCCAACATGGTGACAACAGAGTAGAGGCTAAGAAAATATCTTCCTGAAGTTCAGTAATAGCAAAATAATATTTAATATTAGTATCAATGGATATGTGCCTATCTTGCAAAATTTTAAAAACTAGATGTGGTGAGCAGAATGAGCTCTCCCATTTGCTTCCACCATTTATCTGTTCACAGCCTTATTTATATATTAAAAGGGGTTCCAGAGAATCTGTGCTACTTGGAATACTGAAATTCATCCTGTGGTGAAATACTATGCTTACCAGCTTGTTTGGGTATCTGAGGAGGACTGGCTGCACTGGAACTCCTGGAATGAAGGCTCCTGCAACCATGTTGAAATTTTATAATGTGTTTTTATATGAATAAAAGTTTTATGATAAAGACAAAATTAATAAATAGTATAAATAGACTGAATATTTTAAGAGTATGTATAACAAATCGTTTGCTAAATGTTGATAAATCCCTAGTACTTACCAAAATGAGGGATTTTTTTTGAATTAAGAACTACTGAAGCAAAATATTAAATGCTGTGCCTATGTCACTTAAAATATTTGTTTATTCATTGATTTATTTGTCCACTTTTTTTCATTTTCCAAGTGTTAATATTAAACAGAATTTTTTAAGTAATGATAAAATCGAGACAAAGAAAAAATAAGAAAGCCTACATGAAACCAAATGCTTGAAGCAAGAACTACCATACTTGCTAGAAGTGAGTCATAACTTTGCTGCTGAGCATTCTAGCAGCTAATACAAAAACATTTTAAAGTATTACAAATTATAATGAAGCTGCATTCACTGACTTCTAATGTTAAAAAAGAAATGAACCTCAGAAAGCAACTGAAGACATTATAATGATAATGAGATAGGTTTTCTACTTGATGGCATAGAACCTCACGTGTCTGTGAGGGTTCCCAAACATACACACAGCCACACATCCTAAGCATACATGCATGGAGTGGACACTCCAAGGGGAGAGGAATTATGACACCAAAAGAGAAAGCAAAGCAGTAAGTTCTGTGGATCCACAGTGTTAAAAAAGTTGCAATCAGAAAAGAAAAAAATGTTCAGAGCAAGCTCAAGAGTTATTTTGTGTATTTCTATAAAATCATTTGCAAAATCTTCCATATTACTTTGTTAGAATACATAATTTAATTTTTCTCACCTGGTTTAAAAGTAATCAAACAGGAACGATTAGTACAAGTACCTTCTGGGAAAACTAGTATCTTGGGAAAAAAGGAATAGATTTAATATTTCAATCTAATTAATAAATTACCTCTTTACTTGCTTTCTTATGACTTCACAAACAGCTGCCAATGCTTAAAAAACAAAAATGAAATAAAAGGCTAACACTTGATTCTAATGAAAGCTACCATCAGATTATTCAATTTTCTTGTACAGAAAGTGTTGTCTATTAATTTAATTAGAAAATGGATTTAAGTTTTAACAAATGTCTCTTAATGATAAAACTAATGATCTGAATAAACTTAAAAGATGTAGAGCATAATTCATGGTCAAAGTGTGCATTAGGCTACATTAAATTCTTTCTTCTGCTATATATGCTTAACCAAATAATTTCCAATTTTGTTTCAGTTTTCCCATTAATATTTACTCCCACAACATACAGTTCAGGCATGTCTTGAGGACAAAGGAAAAAAGATATGTGTACAATGTGCTTTATATTTACTTGAATTAGTTGACATATGGAATACAACTTAATATCTTTTTTTCTTTCTGAGGCAGTGTTTTTAGCTTTTAACATACTTCTTCATGTTTTCAAAGTAAAAGATAAGCAGCATGTTAGCTTCCCCATTAACTAAGTAAAATAGCAACTTAATTTTCTGATGCTTTTAAAATTTAGCCATGAATAAATTGCTAAGTGAATAAAATAAAATAAAGTAAAATCCTGCACTCACAGCAGTTAGAAAAGTGTTTTTATGATAATTAGATAGGGAAAACATTATTGGGCTACATTGCCACAATAACAGGTTATTTATAAAATAAAAATTATGAATAGATATAATTCCATTTTCCAATTTAAAAGTGGGTTTCCTATAACAAAGGGATACAATATCAAATATATTTTACTCAGTGAAAATTCAACAACTAAACTACTAACAATTAATGGATATACAGTGAATTGTAAAATCTCAGAGCTGGAAGGGGCCATAAAAGTCACCTAGCATCTCTAATGCTTTAATTCTTTCTACAATAGTGGTAGTTCAGCCAATGCCTGAAAATTCTAGAAAAGGATTCCACATCAGACCATTCCACTTCTGGACAGAAAGTTCTTCCTCAAGATGAGCAAAATGAGCTGAAATTTATCTATTTGTTATCTCCCACCTACCACTGCTAGATATATTCTTTGGATCCACAGAGAAAAATCAAACCCTACTCCCAATGCCACCTATTCTCAATCCTCTTTTTAATCATTCCTTCCATGCCTTGGTGTCTAAAACAACCTGTTTGGTCACATACTTTCTCTTGGACTTTAACATCTTCATGTCATCATGTGTGGCCAGATAACTGTAGGACTATTAGTCTGCTAGAGATGAGTTGTTTTCAACTGGGCAAAGATAAAGGGGTTCCTATTAGAATCACCCTTGGCTTATTTTGCAGTAAATGTTACCCCCCAATCCCCCCATTCAAGGGAAGGGGATGGTGAGATGGTAAAGTTTGAAAAACAGTTCTACAGGTGATTTTGATATGCCCCTTGAACTGAAAAGCACTATCTAAATATACCTCAGGTGAGATTAAAGATCTTAATCATTTACCCACCACAATATTGAGTATAACTGAGCTTATATAATTAAGCTTCTAAAACATGAAATAGGAGATACTTTAGTATAATGGTAATAGATACTAAGGTATTTCCTATCTCATCTTTAAAGTGGTAATTAAATTTAGAGTTAGAGAATCAAATTTTTATAACACAAAGAGAAAATTGCTTCAAAGAGTTTGGAGAATAAAAAAGAAGGATACATTTAATTCCATGGAGTATCTCATGGGGAAGAGGACTTCTTAATACTTGCTACTGTATTTATTCTGCACTTATTATGCTAAAGATACCTAGTATAGGTGTCCACAGATAGCAATATCTGTGGATCCAAATGAATAAGTCTACAGACATACAATTAACAAATTCCCAATATGTTTAAATTAACATCTACCATGTTTTACCTGGGGCCATTCTCCTCCTGATGTTGTTCGCTTTATTATTTCATTTATTGTGTTTTTTCGGGAATCCGGATCTACACGGGACACCAAAATTGGTTGCACAGCCCGTAACATTCCTTTAAAACAAATGAAAAGTCACAGGCAAGCCATTTTTTGGCTAAAGCAACCACAGCAATAATGCTGGATATATAACACATTGTATGGAAAATTTAAATGAGCAAATCAAAGAGAACCATTCAAAAACAATTTATTAGAACTTAGCTTCTAATTTTGAAAGGAGAAGTGGATATTTACAATTAAAAACATTTTATTAATTTAACAGAAGTAAGCAGCAAAAATACAAAAGAAACAAATATAATTTTCTCCCTAAAGGTCTCCTAAAGGTCTTCTTCCTCAATTGACATTAAATCTTTGGAATATGCTACAAGATTATTGTTTTACTTTAGGAATACCTTGAAAAGTGAATTCATAGTACACATAAGTAGGAGTAACCATTACTCATAATACTGCAATTTTCAGCACAACATTTTTTTGAAATAGCTTCCTAGCACATGAAAAATCAATTTACCAAAAATCTATTGCTACACAATTTTTCAGGAAAAAGCCACATTACACAAAGCATGGAAGTTACATTAAAAAAAAAAAAAAAAAAAAAAAAAAAAGTGTCTTAGCTGAATGACAAAGCTGCAAGAACTACTATTACTTTTCCAGAGCACTGAGGCAACATCAGGGAACTTTCACACTCTCTCATCATCTGATGTTTGCAATAACCTTGGGACAACAGGGAGTAGTTACTTGGAGACAATTCTTGAGGGACACCAAAGCATGTGGTAGGAAAAACACTTCACTTGCGTCATTATTTTTTATGGCAGGAAGTACCTATTGTTCCACATCATAATTTTCAAAGAGCTACACATAGGTCCCTCATGGAGATTTGGGGGGCAATAATGAAGAAAACAGAGTGAGGAGAAATCACTTACTGCATTTAGCAGCCTAACATCCTGAAGATAAATTCATGAAACAGCATATACCTGTGTTTTCACAGATTCTCTCAAATCAAACATGGGTTAAATTCTCTCAAATCAAGCATGAGTAGTATCTGAAAACTAGTCTTTCTGGCTATATACAAGAACAGAAAGACATAATGATATAGTGATAAAAAGTTTTAAAGAGTTATGAAGCTATAAAAGGGAAGTCTAATCTTTTTTCATAAATATACTATTTCCATGTAGTAACTTATTACAATAAAGTAAATATGTTTGAAATGTTTAAACTTTTTAAAAAGTTTATCAATAAACTATATACAATTATTTTAATTTAAAGCATGAGCATGAAAGTATTTTATCTACGTTACCTTACAAGTACTTACTGCCAATCAGAGGGACTTGTGCATTCTCATTTCGAGATACCATAGAAGGTAACCCAGCTACAACACAGGCAATTCCATCAAAGAATGTTGAATGAGGGGCAGCAACAAAAACCGGTGCTTCCAAAGGACTTGCAATCCTTCCTTTTACAGAAACTATAAATCCCATTGAAAAGAACATAGCACGACCCAGAAATTTCAAAGCTGTTTGAGTAATTTTCCTTTGAAAATATAGAAAAGACATAATTAGCTTTGTTAATTAAAGCTAGCAGCAAGGTTTTACTCTATAATACAATAAGAAAACCAAAATATGTCAGAGTATTTCATATGAAAATATGAGCTGAGGAGAATAATAGCTAACACTTACATGGAGCTCTTTCTGCCAGGTGCTAGGCACTATTCTAAATGCTTTACATACAGATTAATCTCTTTAATCCTCAGCCTAATCTTTTGAAGTAGGTATTTTGAAGTTATTACTCCCATTTTATAGATGAGAAAACTGAGGCACAGAGAAGTAATTTGCCCAAAGATATGTGTGGCTAAGAAACAGCTCCATCATTCTGAGACTATAAAGTATTAAAAATGAATTTTCAACACACATCCCCTACTGAGATATCCAAATCAGTATTGTCCTTCAAAGTGGTTATCTTGGGAATCCACATTTGTGTAATGAAGATGCTACTATCTCCTAAAACACTTTTGGAACTCTCACACTGAAACTGTTCTCAGAATTATTTTAGGAATTTTTTTTAAAAGTCTTGTAATCCATATTGTTACAGTTTTTAGATATCATCAACAATCATCAGAAGTGAGTTCATCATCTCACTTCCCTGGAACAGAGATGCACTTAAGCAATTCCAGAAACTACTTTTTAAAAAAACCTTTAAAAAAGATTCTGCCATTATAGATTAGTTAATTTATCAAACTGTGTCAGGAACTATGCCAGACACACAAGGCAAGATCCAGTTAAGCAGGGAAACAAAAATGTATTCCTAGAAGTGCAAACACAGGAGGGATATCTCGGTATGTGAATAAGCACATAGCTTTTTATGAAAAATAAAATATGTACATCATCCAGGAGGTATCTAATGAGAGTGGTTTTTTTTTTTTTTTTTTTTTTTTTTTTTGAGACGAGTCTTGCTCTGTCGCCCAGGCTGGAGTGCAGTGGCGCGATCTTGGCTCATTGCAAGCTCCGACTCCCGGGTTCACGCCATTCTCCTGCCTCGGCCTCCGGAGTAGCTGGGACTACAGGCGCCCGCCACCACGCCCGGCTAATTTTTTTGTATTTTTAGTAGAGACGGGGTTTCATCGTGTTAGCCAGGATGGTCTCAATCTCCTGACCTCATGATCCACCCACCTCAGCCTCCCAAAGTGCTGGGATTACAGGCGTGAGCCACCGCGCCCGGCCTTCAGCTTTTAAAAATAGGATTCTCGTCTAATTCTCTCCACATTTTTGTAATAATGTAGTGAGGAGCTATTAGCAACTAGCTCCAAAGAAGTTTCTGTGACTTTTATTTCACAAGAAGGAGATAAAGAAAGCCACAATACTTTTCCAGAAGGCACAGAAACTGTACCTCCCTTTCTTCTCCTTTAGTTTAGCGATGAGATTTCTACTAATGTAATGAGACGAAGTATATTCCTTTATCAAATTTTCACACCTCTTATTTTTTATCCATAGTGATGTAGCTTCTGATAACTATATTTATCCCATATTCTGAGCCATTAAACACTCCTATTTAACATATTTAAAGAATGGCTCTAAGTCTGGTCCCACATAATAACTTCGACATTACCTGTTTGAGAGGAGAAAGAGATACTGCTTTAATTGACAAAAGTAAAACTTTCTTTTCTAACATTTATTATATCTATTGTCTGGATTACTTAGACCATTCCTTCTATCATCCTACGTTTTCATAAGCCACTGACAATAAAAACCAAAGAGGTAATCTGAAAAGAATTGTTGAGTCATAAAAACATCCCTTGAAGCATTGTTTTATACTACACAACCTTGAGTTATAAAACAAAGGAGTATGATTTGCAAGAACTGAGAGTTCTCTGGGGCATTGCCAACATTGAATCCATTTCCACTTTGATAGTGACATTTGTTCACTGGAACATGAACTGAACAGCAAACTACATATTTCTTTAAAAGTTTCTAGAACAGTCTTTCTCAAAATTTTTGGAGGATGCATTCACATTTGAGATTTAAATACAAAAATATCCTTGCGTATAAAAATTGGGCAACAATTTCAAAGAGTTTGACAATGCCCTAAAACCCATGTACAGATTTGGAATTCACATGGAATCCGTGGAGTCCACATAAGAGGCTGCACTTTTAAGGCATACAGATCACAACAATTTGGTTCTGTTCAATAAAAATAAACTTTCACCAGTAGCTTTGTTAACTCATGATCAGTTTCTCCTCTATCACCATCTTAATTAGATAATGCCTGAAAAGCAGTTCCATTCTGCCTCATGCTAATGTTTAAAATAACTATACTATATTGGTTAATAATTATTATTAATAATTGTTATAATAGAAATTACTACTAAAGTAATTAATAAAAATAATATAACTAATCCACTTATGCCACTGCAGAAACCTGTAGAGGGAGAAAAGCAAATGTGAAAACTGAGGAAGAACAGAAGAGAGCAAGGTATTTTGTAGCTTCAGTGGTTTCAAGTACAGTAGTTGGGTATCTTTCTGAACTAGGGATGTATCGCATTTGGCAATAACTCAGAAAACAAAATATTTTAACATTAGGAAATTACAACTTTTAGGAGATTATCATAATGTAGCTGGCATTTGGGCAGTACTTTCTACATATTTCATATGAGAAATAAAAATAAATTATTTATTATTGAGTAGGCTGATAAAACTGTAAAATTTATTATTGAGTAGGCAGATAAAATCACTGACTAAACTATGATGAACTCTTTTTACATTGATTTAATATATGTTAATTTAATATTATGTCCTAATATTTTGGACAAAATCATTTCTTACCTCCTCCAACCAGTTACTGGGTGGGTCAGCTTTTCAGGACAGCATACTGTTGAAATTGCAGCAAATGGCCATGCAAGTAATAAAATTAAAGCAACCAATAAGACACGAATTGGAAGCAGGATAATCCCAAGAAGAAAAATCTGAAAGTCAAATTTGGTAAAAATAAATGAATGGACATTATTTTAATTCATATCAAACAGAAACATGTAACAGGAGACTTTTATGGTGTTCATGCATTTAGTCAAGGATGAATTGACTACTACCCTGTACCAGACAAGGATTTAAGCACAAAGAAAAAAACAAATTATATCTGACTTCACAAAGCCTACTGTGTAGCAAGAGAAACACTAAAGAAGACCATAAGACAAATGATCTGCATACCCATGAAAGCGAATAGAGAATGTTGGGGGAACAAAGAAAAGGTGTATTTGATTTAGCAGCCAGGGAAAGCTTCCTGGAGGAATTGTAGCCTGAACAATCTTGCAATAAGTAGGAGCTAGCAAGGTAAGAAGGAGAAATTGCTTTTTCAGAGCTTTAGGTAGAAGAGTAAAGGCATCAGAGTGTGAAGAAGTAAATACATTGTTTTATATACCTGCCAGAACTTTATAACCAATAACAATAAGATAGATGCGAAAATAAAAAAATTAAGAAGAAATGAAAAGTAAATAAATAAGAATAGCAAATAATACATGAATCCTTACTATGTAATATACCAGCCATTCTAAGCACTTGGCATGTAGTAACTTATTTAGTTTTTACAACCTTAAGTTTCAAATTTTACAAACCAGAAAGGAGTAACACAGAGGAAGTTAAATTGCTTAAGATCACAAGTGGTAGAACCAGGATTTGAACTTAGTTTGGTTAATTCTTTTACTGTACTGCCATTTGAGTAAAATAGATTGTGCTTATGTATGACACATTGTCTTTTTTTCTATAAGCCAATTATATTACTCAAACAGTAGCCTTCTTTTTCTGTCTCTACTGGCCTTTACATGATTCTGAGCACCATCAAATAATTTAGAAAAAAAATGCCAAAATATTCTAATTATCTGATCTTTAGAATATTAAATAGTAACACAAGGAAATGTACAGATGTAAAGTATACAATTCAGTGAGCTTTAATAAATATATACTCATGTAACCACCACCACAATTAAGACACAAAACATATTTACCACTCCCAGAAAGTCATCTTGTGCCTCTTCTAGTCAAACCCTATATTCTTAGGTAACAAATGCTAGATTTCTATCACCATAATTTAGTTTTATCTGTTCTTAAATGTCACATAAATGGAATCATACTTTATGCATTCTTCCACTTAATACTTTTTATTCCACTATGTTGTTTCATACATCAGTAATTCATTCTTTTTAATTGCAGAGTATTATTCTACTATGTGACCATATGACAATTTGCTTATTGATTATCCTACTGATTAACATTTGAGTTGTTTCCAATTGTGGGCTATTATGAATAAAGCCACTGTGAATATTCTTGTACAAGCCTTTATGTGAATATGTTTCCATTTCTCTTAAGTAAATACCTAGGAGTGAAAATGCTGGCTCATAGATGTTATTTAACTTTATAGCAAACCACCAGTTTTCCAAAGTTATATCATTTAAAAGTATCAGTGGAAATGTGTGAGAATTTTCAGCTGCTGTACATCCTTGCCAGCATTTGGTATTGGCAGACTTTTAAAAAGCTTTATTAAGGTATAATGTACATAAAAGAAAAAACATCTATTTTAAGTTTATAGATTACGAGTTTTTCAAATGCATACCCCTATGCAATGACCACCACAATCAAGATATTTACATCATCCCAAAAAGTTTTCTTTTGCCCTTTGCAATTAATACACCTTCCCCAAACCTAAGCAACCACTGATAGGCTTTTTTCACTGTAGTTTTACCTGCTGTAGATGTTCATATAAATAAAATCACATAGCATTTATTTACCCTTTTATATCTGGCTTGATCACTTCATATTTTTGAGAGTCAACCATATTGTCATATATATCAGTACTTACTCTTTTTAATTGGAGAGTACTATTCCATTGTATGAATATATTACAATCTATTTATTTACTTGTTCATGGACATTTGGCCTATTATAAGTTCTCAGCTATTATAGCTCATATGAACATTAATGTTCAAATCTTTGTGTGACCATACATTTTCATTTCACTGAAAATAAAATCATTGGGGCATAGGGCATGTTTAACTTTATATAACACTATAAAACTGTTTTCCAAAGTGACTTCACCAGTTTATATCCCCAGCAAGGTATGAGAGTTCCTGTTGCTCCACATCCTTATATGGTATGGTCATTTTTTTGTTTGTTTGTTTGTTTGTTTGTTTTTGAGACGGAGTCTCGCTCTGTCGCCCGGGCTGGAGTGCAGTGGCTGGATCTCAGCTCACTGCAAGCTCCGCCTCCCGGGTTGACGCCATTCTCCGAGTAGCCGGGACTACAGGCGCCACCTCACCGTTTTTTGTATTTTTTTTTTTAGTAGAGACGGGGTTTCACCGTGTTAGCCAGGATGGTCTCGATCTGCTGACCTCGTGATCCACCCGTCTCGGCCTCCCAAAGTGCTGGAGTTTTTTTTATTTTTAATGTTAGCCATTAAAGTGGGTATAAAAGAATATCTCATGTGGCTTTAATCCACATTTCCTTGATGAACAATAATGCTGAATACATTTTTCATATACTTCTTGGTCATTCCTTTAACTTCTAATATTAGTGTCTGTTCAAGTCTTTGGCTCATTTTTACTGGTTTGTTAGTCTTTTTCTTATCAATTTGTAAGAGTTCTTTATATAAATGTATACAAGCCCTTTGTCAATATATGCGTTGAAAATACTTTTTTCCTCATTCTGTGGCTTGCTTTCTCATTTTCTTAGTGGTATCTTTTGATTAAAGCAATTTTAATTATGATGAAGTTTAATTTATCAACTTTTATTTTATGTTTAATTATTTTCTGTGTCCTTCTGAAAAAATCTTTACCTCAAGTTCCTAAAGATACTCTATATTCTTTTCTTCTAGAAGCTGTATGATTTTCACTTTTACATTTCAATCTGTGGTCAATCTTAAATGACTTTTTTTGTGTGGTATGCAGTGTGGATTAAGGTTCATTTTTAACCATAAATTTATCCAGTTGTTGCAGCACCAAAAGACTTGACATTCCTCAATGAATATTCTTGGCAACTTTGCAAAAAATCAATTGAATATTAATGTATGGATTTTCTTTCTGTTGCATTGATCTGTTCATCATACCTCTGTCAATACTCTGCTACCATATTTACTACAGTGTTGAAGTAAGTCTTGAAATCAAGTAGTGTATGTCTGCCCATACATTCTTCTTCATCATTTTTCTGAAGGCATTTTAGATACTCTGCATTTCCATATAAGTTTTAGAATTGTCAGTTTTTACACATACATAAAAGCCTGTTAGGATTTTTACTGAGATTTCAAAATGAATCTACAGAACAATTTGGAGGAAATTGTCATTCTAATAATATTGATTTTTCCAATTCATAAACATGGTATATCTCTCTATGTAAGTCTTCATTAATTTCTCACAGAAATATTTTGTAGTTTTCAGTGTAGTGGTCTTATATGGTTTTTCCTAAGTATTGAATGCCATTTTATTGCTGTTATAAATTAGATTACTTGATCTCATTTTGCAATTGTTTGCTCCTATAGTATATAAATGTAAAATTGACTTTTGATCTTTTATCCTTTGACCTGGTCAAGTTCACTTACTGGTTTTCGTAGTTAGTTGTTCTGTTGATTCCTTAGGAAGTTCTTCGTATACAGTCTATACCATTTGTGAATACGACAGTTATACTTTTTCCATTGTAATCCATATGTCTTTTATTTCCTTTATTTTCTTATTGTACTGGCTATGATCCCTAGCATAATGTTGAACAGAAGTGGTGAACAAGATATTTGTCTTATCTCAAACCTTTGAGGAAACAGATTCAATATTTTACCACTATGATATTAATTGTGGGTGTTTTGTAGATGCCTTGTATCTGATGGAAGAGTTTCTCTTCATCTCTATCTTACTAAGAAAATATTTTTATCACCAGTGGGTATTGAATTTTGTCAGGTGAATTAATGAAATTTCTGCATCTATTGAGATGATCACAGGCATTTTATCATATGTTCTGCTTATATGGCGAATTACATTGAAATTGGAATTTTATGTTACATCAACCTTATATTCCTGATATAAGATAAACTTGGAAGTGATATACAGTATCATCCTTTCTATACAATGCCATATTTGACCTGCTAATATTTTGTTAAGAGTTCTATGGCTATGATCATGAGAAATATTGATCTCTAATTTTCTTTTCTTATAATGTCTTTTTCAGATTTGGTATCAAGGTAATATTAGCCCCATAAAACTAGTTGGGTACTGTTCCACACTTCTCTACTTTCTGAAAGAGCTTGTGTGAGTGATTTTATTGTATTCTTAAAAGTCTGACAAAATTTACTAGTAAAATAATCTTGGTGAAACATTTTCTTTAAATGTTTATTTGTGGATACAAAATAAATTCAGATTCCTTCATAGATAAAGGGCTATTCATATTTTCCAGTTCTTGTGTCTATTTTTGTTACACTGGATTTTTGTCCATTTCATGTATGTTTCAAATTTACTGGCATAAAGTTGTTAATAATGTTCCCTTATTAGCCATTTAACCTATAATGATATATACCGTTTCATTCTTGATACTGGTAATTTGTATTTTCTTTCTTGTTTTCTTATCAGTCTTGGTAAGGATTTATCAATTCCATTAATCTATTCTATTAATCTATTAGACAAATGTTTGATTTTAATTTTCTATGTAGTTTTCTATTTCACTGATTATTGCTCTTATCTTTATTATTTCCTTTCTTTGACTTACTTTGTGTTTAATTTGTTCTTCCAGCTTCTGAAGGTAAAAACTTAAATCATTAATTTTAAACCTTTCTTCTTTTCTATGTATTTAAATATATTGGTTTACTGGCAAGCACTGCTTTAACTGCATCCTACAAGTTTGATACGTTGCATTTTGTTCACATTTAGTTTAAAACATTTCATAATTTCACTCGTAATATATTTTTGACCCAAGGACTATTTTAAAGTATACAGCTTGA